TGGGAAGTGGGTCCCTGATGCTTTGGGGCAACTCCCAGGAAGGATGGGACAGTGAAGGGCCCCATCTGTCATGGGGCCCTGGGGCTGAGGAGTCTGTGGGAGGGGCAGTGTGGGGATCTCTCTGCCATGGGGGCCTGGCACCTTCCTCATAGCTTGGGGTCCAGGTAAAGCCATTTTGCCCCCCTCAATCCAGGCTATGCCCCTTCCTGCCAGCAGCTAAACACCCTCACTGCACTCCCTGCACACCTGTGCTAACACCATTAACGTCCCTGGGGGCCCTAGATTATAAACTGGGGGTGCACCTGACACCCCACCTGAGATCAAGGGCCCATCAGACACCCCATGCCTGAGATCAGGACTCCTGGCATGCTGGGTGTCAGAGCCCTAATGAAAGACAGCCCCTACCCTAGAAAACATGGTCTAAATAGACTGGGAGGTGGGGAAGGGAAACTGAGGCACAAAAGGGACACACCCCCTCTCAAAGCCATGGGATTGGGCACAGCTCCGGCCAATGAGGTGGGTGTACCTCTTGTTGCAGAATGTCAATGTGATACAGGAGCTCGAAGAAGCGTGTGTGGTGCCCACCTGTGCCCTTTAAAGCAGTCTCTCTCCTTCGCCGTGGCTGTGGGGTCAGTGCTGTTCTCTTCACAGGAACTGTGGGGCTAGACTGGGGCCTCGGGCCCTGGCTCCTAATGTCACAGATTGCCGCATGAGCTGGACTTTCAGTTTCTAGCCCGCAGCAAGCCTGAGCCGATCGCTCAGCGAGCGGGGGAGCTGCCCTGAGCATGAATGACACTGCCGAGGTCTGCAGAGAGCCAGAGCTGATCACTTGGCAAGGGGGGAATCATCCTGAGTGTGCACAACGCTGCCTGAGCCGATCATTCAATGACCGTGGGGGGGGGGGGCTGCCCCCCGTGTAACTATACAGCAAGGCTATGTGATTGCCACTGCGGGGCGCTGCACGCAGGGGGGAATGCAGCAGCTGCAGACACAGCCCTGGCTCAGATAACATACCCAGGACCATCACCTGCCACTAGCACCAGCGCTGTTCGCAGGCTGCTACAGCAAGCTGCTTGCTGTGCTCCAACCCTCTGCAGACACAGCCTTGTGCCTGGAGCTTCTTCCCAGAGACGCTCATCTAGGGCCCCTCCTACAAACAAACCCCCTTCCACCCAGGCAGCAGGCAAGAGCTTAGTGTGCTCCTGGCCTCCAGAAACTCACCCCCTGTAGTTAAAATCCCACTGCAGAGAATTGCATACTCCACTAAGGGGACTTTATTTGAAAGCGTCGTGGGTGAATCACAAGGATCAAAGGTCATGTCAGTGCCCAGCTCTGAGCCAGCCCCTGCGTGCGGCAGAAACCAACTCCATGGCAACTCCGGAGGGAGGGGTTCACACAAGCTGCCCGTGCCCCCCCTCCAGAAAGGTGAGGAGCGGTCTCTGCAGCTGAGCTAATCAACATACAACAATCAAACTGCATTTTACAACCCATTTGTCCATGGACCATGTCTCAGGTGGGCTGAGCTCAGGAGGGCAGAGGCAGCTGCCACAGTGGACCCTTGGGTGCTGGATGCTAGGCTCAGCATGGGCAGATGCCACAGCTCCCCTACTTTTCAGGTCTGCTGGTTCACAAGGCATCATGGGGCAGACCACCTGTGGGTGAAGTGGATAAGACTCACCGGGTCCTCCTCCGTGCCCCCTGGATGGCCCCACCAGTGTCTCCAGGGGTGCTAATGTCTTGGAACAGGCCCCCCGCAGCTGCCTCCTCAGCTGCTGCCTCAGTGTACTGGGTGCTCCAGGCCTTGGGGTCCTTGTTTTGGATCTGATGAAAAGAGACCAGAAGGGAGGATTGAGACAGCTGGGCTGTGATCTCCCCCAGGGCCTACATGGGCAGCATCAGCCCTTAAGGGACAGGTCTATTGCCCCCTGTGGAGGACCCCCTTGCCCAAGCACCCTGGGATACCCCCAAACCTCAGTTCCCTTGGCTGCCCAGGGACTGTCCCCCCATTTCCCCAAGACCTGCCCTGTAGGATTTTAATCTTCATTTCCCCACAGCTCCCTCTTAGTGACCCCCACCTCCAGGCACTCAAGGGGGCTCAGACTCTGCTCCCCCTAAATCTGAGCCCTCTCCTTCCTTAAGTGTCCTGTTCTCTCCCCCCCCCGCCCCCCCGCAGGCAGGTACCTTGGCGACAAATCGCAGGATCTGCATCTTGGAGGTCTCCTTGGCAGCCCGTGCCCCCCACTGGAACTCAAACTCGGGTGGATCTGTGTGGGGTATGCGGTTGTATTCCAGGTACCTGATGGGGCAAGAGTACAGCAATCAGCAACCATGCCCACTTCTCCAACCTGTCAAATCACCGCCCCCCTCCACTGTCACTGAGCCCACATAAATCCCTGCCCCCCTCAGCCCCACTTCCTCCCGAAGAGCAGCCATCTGACCCCAGTAACCTGCTCCCAGCATGGCCAAAGAGGTAGAGCAGTGGGCTCAGGACACCTGGGTTCTAGCTCGCCTGTTACTCCTGTCCTCACAGCCCCTTGGGGTGTAGGCTCCGCCCCCCACTGCAGCTCCATGCCCCTTCCCTTGGGGCTCTCCATTCTCCAGAGCCCCTGGGGCCAGCCCTCCTTCCTGTTGCCAGAGAGAAAATGGGCTGCTGGATCTCCCCAGCCCACAGAGAAGGGCAAAGGGCCAGCTCAGGCTGTGTGCGTGTCCGATACCTCCAGCACAGGGAACCAGCCTCCAGGCTGACTGCATGCAGGGGCAACGAGATAATCTGCGGCATGGTATAAACAGCAAGGCTGTGGGCTCCGCCATGGCTGCTCTGTACACACCGGCCACATGGGATTTGAACCACCTGCTCCCAGGCTCGCAGAGAGCAGCCACCCAACCTGCTGGGCCATTGCAGCACCTCAAACAGGGCCCAAATCTACTAATGTGCAAGGAGGGTGAGTGACAGGACTCCTGGGTTCTGTGCCTGGCTCTGGGAGGGGATTGGGGCCTACTGGTTAGAGCAGGGGGCTGGACGCATACTAAGGACTGCAATATCCAGTGGGGTGAGAAAAACTGCTTTATCTAGATGTTGCCCAGTCTAATAGGATTGAGAGTTTAGACTGTGTGCTTATATTCTCTTTTGGAAACTATCACTTAATCTATCTTTTGTAGTCAAACTTCTTTTACAGTTTATCTTTACCAGTGAGTTTGCTTGAAGTGTGTGGTAAATCTGCTCAGGTTTGCAAAGGCTGCTGTATATCCACTTTCCATTGATGAAGTGGTGAATCAATTAATAAATTTGCACTGCGCACAATGATATATGATATGAGGTACAAGGCTGGGAGCTGTGGAGGGAGGGGATTTGGCTCTGGTGCCTTTCTCTGGCCTTGGCTACACTCGGGACTTCACAGCGCTGCCGTGACAGCACTGCGTGTAGTCGCACCGCCAGCGCTGCGAGAGAGCTCTTGCAGCACTGTATGTACTCCACCTCTCCGAGGGGAGTAGGTTGCAGCGCTGCAAGCAAGCGTGCAGCGCTGCAGGCACTGATTACACTGGCGCTTTACAGCGCTGTACTCGCTGCGCTCAGGGGGGGTGTTTTTTCACACCCCTGAGCGCACCAAGTTGCAGCGCTGTACAGCACCAGTGTAGCCAAGGCCTCTGTGTGATTCATGAGTGGCTCTGGGAACATTCATGCAATCTAGCTGGGGGTGGGGCTCCACATGTGGTTGTGCTGAGTGATCACAGTCCCTGGAGGGGGTTGCTGCTTGTTACTAGCAAAACATTGTGAGAGACAGCCCAGGCTGGAGCGTTAAGGGGGCACAGCGGTCCCACAGCCCCAGGCTGCACCCCAGGGATCCAGTCACAGACCTCACTCCCCTCCCAGAGCCAGGCACAGAACCCAGGAGTCCTGGCTCCCAGCCCACTCTGCTCTAACCATTAGACCCCACTCCCCTCCCAGACACAGAACCCAGGCATCCCGACAAACCCAAACTTACTTTTGGCGGACAAATTCCTCAGTCACCAACTTCTTGACATCCCCAAAGACCTCGTGTCTCACTCTGGAGGGGTTGTGGATAGGAATGTGTTAAAGGGGCATGGCCTCAGGGCACAGGCCCCTGCTGCTCCACCCCCCACTCTGCAAGCCCCATCATTGATTAGCTGGTGCCCAGAGAGGGAGGAGCCTGCAGGGGACAGCGTTAACCCCTGGTATCCCAGACCCTGCACATACCCAGGGTCAACTCGCAGTCTCCTTAACATCTCCCACACAGCAGCTGAAAGGGCAAAGTGAGAATGTCAGTCAGGAGGCGGAGCCTGCAGGGAAAGGGCAAGGCCCGCAGGGAAGGGGCGGGGCTTACATTCTTTAGCAGCATTGCCCTTCATGAAGAGGAAGCTGAGGATGACAGTGAGGAGGCCCAGCTTTGCTGTGCAATCATCCCTGCAACACACAAGAGGGGTGTCACTCACCCAGGGAACTCTGCGGAGGACTAGGGATCTGAACAAGGAATCAGAGGGTTTAATGGCAGAGCAAAGACTCCTCTCAAACCTTCCAGAGCTGGAAAAAGAATCCTGGCTCAAAGCCTCCCCCACTTTAACCACTAGAGCCAGGGACAGCCTATAGACCTCCCAGCAGACCTCCAGTCACATGGACACTGCAAGGCAGCCTTTTGGCTACTAGGGGGCAGAGGAACACAATGCCAGGATGGGGGCATGCAGGGATCAGCCATGCCAGTTTTATGTGGGGTGGGGTTTGGTGGGTGGGTGGAGCCTAATGACAAGGATCAACTCTTAAAGGCTTGGAAGCCTCTTGGGGGGGGGGGGAAATGGAGGAATCGGTCATGCTGCCTCCCACCCCAGCCAGCCAGTCCCCCCCCACTTACTGTTTCAGGTTATCCACTTCCAGGCGCGGCAGAATGCTGACCAGGATGTA